TGACAAAATACAACACCCCTTCATGTTGAAAGTCTTGGAGATATCAGGAATTCAAGGCACATATCTAATAAAACATAACATAATAAAAGCAATATGCAGCAAGCCAATAGCCAACATCAAATTAAATAGAGAGAAAACTAAAGTAATCCCACTAAATTCAGGAACAAGACAATGGTACACATTCTCTTTCCCTATCTGTTCAATATACAAGTTGAAGATCTAGCTAGAGAAACAGCACAGCTGAAGGGTATCAAGGGGATACAAAGTTGAAAGAAAGAATTCAAGATATCACTATTCATGCATGATATGACAATATACATAAACAACCCCCAAAATTTTACCAGAGAATTCATATAGCTGATAAACACCATCAGCAAACTAGTTGGATATAAAATTAACTCAAAGAAATCTGTAGCCTTCCTTTATACAAATGAAAATTGGCCTGAGAATGAAATTAGGGAAACAGCACCCTACACAATAGTAACTAATAATATAAAATATCTTGGTATAACTCTAACCAAGCAAGTGAAATATTTGTATGACAAGAACTTCAAGACCTTGAAGAAAGAAATCAAAGAAGACATCAGAAGATGGAAAAAATCTCCCATGCTCATGGATCAGTAGGATTGACTTAGTGAGAATGGCCATCTTACAAAAGCAAACTACAGACATAATGCAGACCCCCAACATAATTGAATACAATTTTTTACAGACCTTCAAGGATCAGGTCTCAATTTTATATGGAAAAACAAAAACCCCAGGATAGCCAAAACAATCCTGAACAATAAAAGAAACTCTGGAAGAATCACCATACCTGATCACAAGCTGTACTACAGAGCAATAGTGATTTAAAAAAAATCCCTGCATGGTATTGGTACAGAAGCTGACTGAGTGTGATGAAAGTAATAGAATCAAAATCCCAGCATTAAACACACTCACCTATGGACACTTGATGTTTTGACAAAGGAGTCAAAACCATACAGTAGAAAAGTGAAAGCATTCTCAATAAATGATGCTGGTCTAACTGGCAGTCATCATGGAGAAGAATGAAATTTGATCCATATTCATCACCCTGCACAAAACTCAAGACAAGTATATCAAGGATCTCAACATAAGACTGGATAAACTAAATTTTATAGACAAGAAAGTGGAAAATAACCTTGAATGCACTTGTGAAATAACTTGAATGGTACAGGTGACAATTTCCTGAACAGAACACCAATGGATCAGGCTCTGTGATCAACAATTAATAAATGGGATATTATGAAACTGAAAAGCTTCTGCAAGGCAAAGGACACTGTCTACAGTATAAAGCATCAGCCTACATCAGAAAGAGGGTTAATATCCAAAATATATAAAGAACTCAAAAAGTTAAACTCTAACAAACCAAATAACCAAATTTAAAAATGGGGTACACAACTAAACAAAATTCTTTTAAAAAATTATTATTTAATCTTTTTTACTTTCTTTAAACTCCAGATTTTATTCTCCTCCCAGTCCACCCACTGACTGTTCCTCATCCCATACCTCCTCCCTGCCCCCTGTCTCCACAAGGATGTCCCCATTACCCCACCCCACCAGACCTCCCACTCTCTGTGGCCTCCAGTCTCTTGAAGGTTAGGTGCATCTTCTCTGACTGATCCCAGACCTGGCAGTCCTCTGCTGTATATATATGTGTTGGGGGCCTCATATCAGCTGGTGTATGCTGCCTGGTTGGTGGTCCAGTGTCAGAGATCTCAGGGTCCAGGTTAATTGAGACTGCTGGTCCTCCTACAGGGTCACCTTCCTCCTCAGCTTCTTTCAGCTTTTTTCTAATTCAACCACAGAGGTCAGCAGCTTTTGTCCATTGGTTGGGTGCACATGTCTGCATATGACTCTTTCAGCTGCTTGTTGGGTCTTTTGGAGGGCAGTCATGATAGGTCCTTTTTTGTGACTGCTCTGTAGCCTCAGTAATAGTGTCAGGCCTTGGGGCCTCCCCTTGAGCTAGATTCCACTTTGGGCCTGTTTCCAGACCTCCTTTTCCACAGGCTTCTCTCTGTTTTCATCCCTGCAGTTCTTTCCAACAGGAATAATTATGAGTCAGAGTTTTTGACTGTGGTATGGCAATTCCATCCCTCACTTGGTATCCTGTCTTTCTGCTGGAGGTGGGCTCTACAAGTTCCCTCTCCCCACTGTAGGACATTTAATCTAAGGTCTCTCCCTTTGAGTCCTGAGAGTCTCTTACCTTCCAGGTGCATTCTGGAGGGCTCCCCCACCTCCTACCTCCTGAGGTTGCCTGTTTCCATTCTTTCTGCTGACCCCCAGTGCTTCAGTCTTCCCTCTACTCAATACCAGATCATGTCCCCCTTTGTCCTCCCTCAGTCCCCTTTCCCACCTAGGTCTCTCCCTTCCTCCCCCTTGTGACTGCTTTCTCTAGAAAATACCATCCTGAGTGAGGTAACTTAGCCTCAAAGGGTATTTTCTCACTAATTAATAGATATTAGCCAAAAAGTATAGAATACTCAAGATATAGTCCACAGAAACTCAAAAAGGTCAACAAGCTGAACGGCCCAAGTGAAGACACCTCAATCTCACTTGGGAGGGAGAAGAAAACAGAGAATTCTTTAATGGCTTAGAAGCACTTACACAAATGTTCACAGTCCTTAGTCATCAGGGAAATGCAAATATAAATGACCCTGAGATTCCACTTCACTGCAGAGTGGCTAAGATAAAAAACTCATGTGATAGTACATGTTGATGAGGATGTAGAGTAAAAGGAACACTTCTCTATAGCTGGTGGGAGTGTAAACTTGTACAACCAGTCTGAAAATCAATTTGGAGGTTTTTTTTTTTTTTTCAGAAAATTGGAAGTGTTTTTGCCTGAAGACCCAGCTATACTGCTCCAAGGCATATACCCAAAAGATGCTTCACTACAGGACAAGGACATGTGTTCCCCTAAGCTCATAGCAGCCTTATTTGTAATAGGCAGAAACTGGAAACAACATAGATGTCCCTCAATTGAAGAATATATACAGAAAATGTGGCTCACTTACATATTGGAATACTATTCAGCTATTAAAAACAAAGACATCATGACATTTGCAGGCAAATAGATTGAACTAGAAAACATCATCTTGAGTGAGGCAATGCCAACCCAAAAGGACACTCATGGTATGTACTCACTGATAAGTGGCTTAGCCATAAAGTACACACTATGCAAGGAAATTCAACAAGCTGGAAAACCTAACCAAGAATGCTTGAATCACACTTAGAAGGGGAAACAAAATGGTCATAGGAGGCAAAGGGTATGAGGGAATTGGATGGGAATGGGGAGGTAGAGAAAATGAAGAGGCAGGATTTGGTATGTGAAGAGACAGAAGAGAGACCCAGAGGGCCAGGAGAATGAATGGAAATCTGCAGCTTCCAGGGGTGGTGACAAGAGGAGAATCTTTAGGAAGTCCTAGAGACCTAGGATAGGGGAGGCTCCCAGGAGTCAATGAGGGTGACCTTGGTAGAGATGCCTAACAGTGGGGACATGGAACCTAAAGAAGCCACCTCCTATAGGTAGGCAGGACCCCCAGTAGAGAAATAAGGACACCAACCCACCCACAAAATTTTTGACCCAAAATTTATCCTGTCTAAAAAAATGCAGGGATGCAGCAGAGATTGAAGGAAAGGCCAACCAATAACCAGCCCAACTTGAAACCCCCATGGACAAACACCTATCCCTAACATCATTAATCTTTTGTGCTTACAGACAGGAGCCTAGCATAAATGTCCTCTGAGACCCTCTACCCAGTAATGAACTGAAACAGATGCAGATACTGCCAGATAAACAATGAATGGCGCTTACAGACACTTATGGAAGAGTTGGAAGAAGGATTAAAGGCCCTGAAGAGTATGGGGACCCCACAGAAACAACAACAGAGTCAACTAACCTAGACCCATGGGAGCTCTCAGAGACTGAACCTCCAACAAAGAGCAGGGTGGAATGTGTCTCCTGGGCATATATGTAGCAGACATGCAGCTCAGTCTCTATGGCTGTCTTGTATGGCCTCGTTTGGAGAGAATGTACCTAATCTGGTAGACACTTGATGTGCCAGAGTGATACCCAGTTGGGTCAAAGCCCTCTCAGAGGAAAAGGGGTTGGGAGATGAGGGAGGGACTATGTGAGAAAGGGACCAGGAGGGAGGAATGGCATTTGTGATGTAAATAAGTAAATAAATAAATAAATAAGTAAATAAATAAATAAATAGTAACTTGTTGTACACTGCTGGGTGGTCCTGGGGTGTGGTTCAGTTGTGTTGGAGGGAGCCGACCATGGAGAGAAAGGCTTCTCATCCCCCTGTCCCGTGAGCTGATGCACAGCAGCAGGGGGCACAGGGCACGAGCTGGCCCGGGCAGCCGAGTGGCTAGCTAGAGTCCCTCCCCTGCCCCATGCAGACAGTGGCATGCGGGAGTCTTGACTTACACGAATCCGGAATTCACGAGACATGTGGAGATTTAAGATGCGTTGATTTATTAACAGATGGCCGGTTTGGGTGGTGTGGAGCTTTCCCGAAACATGTCGGAAAGGGTTTGTTTATATATTGGAAGCAAGTGGGGCTTCAGGTAATATGTAAATTTTGAGGCAGAGACCTGTTAGTCTCGTGACCTAGCGAGGGCTTTATGCTAGGTCTCTGGGCTTTGGGGGCGTGGCTGAACACCCAGGATTTTACAGTCCCACAGTAACTATTCTTTGAAGAGTGAGAAAAGGAAAAGCAACTATCCACAAGTCTGAATCAGTCAGGTGTATAATGACCATCAGCAGGGAATCCCATTAGTAAACCCACCAAATACTTCAAATGTTGAAGAAAATGCACTACAAAAGAAAGCACAGACAATACCACAATTTCCCTCACAGAATCAATAGTATCATGACACTCAAACATTAATAAAAGAACACAGGGTAGTGATGTCAGTGAGGATTGGAGTTTGATGAGTCATAGAATTCTCAGAACTAGAACTAGTCCAGTCTAGATGCTCTGAGCTGATGGTGAAGCCAGCAAGGAGCCTCTAAGGACTAGTGAGTGGACCAATTTCTTTGTCGTCTCCACTGCCTCTCATAACTGACTGCGAAGCAACATCACCTACTGTCAGTTCACTTGAAGACTGTGTCTCTGGTTAGTAGAGCTTTCATCCATCTTTATTTTATACTTAGAAAAATGAGGTTAAAAACTCATTCATACCAAAATTCACCACTGACCCTTTTAAATGTATAGTTTCACAACAGAAAGACCATCTGCTCATGTATTGTGAAGCCATCACCACTTCAATCTTCTCTAACTGATCTATACTTAGCAAATGTCCCCTTCTGTTTCTCCCTCCTCTGGTCCCTAGCAACCTCCATTATGTTTTTTTACTTCATAGAGTTGAATCCCCAGGGACTTCTTTAGTTGAATCCCATGGTATTTGAGATACGTTCTGTCTTGTTTACTGTTCTATTACTGTAGAGACATCATAGTCAAGGCAATTCTTATGACTGTAAGCACTTAATTGAGGGCTTGCTTTCAGCTTTAGAGGGTTAGTCCATGATATCACGACAGGAAGCAATGCATTCATAGCTGAGAACTCATATTTCATCAACACTTGCAGGTGAAGAGGGAGGGAGAGAAACAGAGACACAGAGAGAGACAGAAAGAGAGAGACAGAGAGACAGACAGAGACAGAGAAAGAGGGACAATGAAAGACAGAGAGACACAGAGAGAGAGACAGAGAGAGAATACAAATCTGGTCCCAGTATATGCTTTTAAACCCCTAAAATTCAACACATTGATACATTACCTTCGACAAAGCAACCATCTTCCAACAAAGTCACACCTCTTAATTTTTCTCAAACAATTCACTACCTAGAGACACAGCATTCATTCATACTAATCTATGAGGATAATTCTCATTCATGTCACTACACTATACTCCATGGCCCCCATAAACTTTGCAGCAATATCATTACACAAAATACATTCCATCCAGCTTCCAAAGTTCCTGCAATACGTTCATAAGCTCAACACTGTCTCAAAGCCCAAAGTCTCCTGAGACTCAAGCCAATTTCTTAACTGATAGCACATGTAAATTAAATAGCAAATCACATACTTTGAGTATACAATAGCAGAGAATATACATTATCATTTCAAATCAGAAGAAAGAGGGCATTGTGAGGAAATACCAATTCAAGACAAGAAGGTAGCAGGAAAACTCTAAATTGTGTCTATGCCTCACAGCAAACAATACAGATGGTCCCTGCTCCCCAGCTTTGCTGAAGACAACACACTTCTCTCTTTTAGGTTGGTTTCACACCTTGTATGCAGATTTTGTGGCAGGTATCCTACGGCTTTTGCATCTCCCATGATTTGGCTTTTCCAAATCATACCAGGCTTTACTTTTATAGCTGCACAAAATGGCCCCTCTTGGCCTCCATACAGGGAGTCTTGAGCCACACAACATGACTTGGTGGCTTTCCTTAGTCATCATGGGAGATTCAATAAACAGTTTCTTGCATCCATCATCACTCTAAATCCAGAACCATGTGGCTGATAGTTCCAATCTATGATGTTTTCTGGGGCTGAATTCAGGCCCACTCCTTCAATTTAATTTTCTTAAGTTTCCATTTGTTGATGACTTTTCTTTGCTGATTAAGCTTCCCTTTAATTCCTTTCAAAAAATTGGAAGCTTATCTAGATGGTGTCTTTTCCTGAAGGCACCATTTGTTTCATTCCATTTTTTTACCAAGTTTCCATTTAAACATATCTGCTTTGAAAGCAGTACGTGGCTGCAACATTTTTTTTTTAACCCCTGAAAATTACAGAGTCAAATTTGATAAGCTGAAATGTCTTAAAATGTAATATAATTGAAATGTTTCAGACTCATCTTGGACTTTTCTCTGAGATATGGTGGTCATAGCTAGAAGATAACCAACAGAGATGATTTGAGATATGGAGGTTGAATAGCACTATGTTGTTAAAACAAAACAATATTGTGTGAAAGAGTCGATGCTTAGTAGAAGCCATATATTAAATTTTAATTTTGACCTTTTTTGTCCCACTGTTCCCCCTTGAACTGTTTGTGTGCTCAACCAGTGTACTACTTGTGAAAGCATGTTTGTGAAGCATCCTTCATGCTATTGTGTTCTGAGCACTTCTGGTTCTCCAATTTCTTTCACCAGCACAGGGCTGTTTCTTCTGCTATTCTATGAAATCATATATCTCCATTCCTAACTCTCTGAGGGTGCTAGCACATACATGGAGCTTTTGATTTACTTAGGGTTGTAAGCAGAATGAAACAGAGCAGGTTTTTAAAAACCATGATCAGTTGAATCTGATTGGAGCTTCTCTATAGAGAAAGAGTCTGTATTTATTTCTCCAAACCCTGGAAAGCACAGGGAGCTCATGGATTTAATCCAAATATTAATATTTGTTTTTATATGTTCTGTTCTTATGAACACAGTGTAGTATTCAGGTACAGGCAGAAGCAAGAGGACTGCAACTTCAAGTGCATTCTAGATTGCAGAATGATTTTGAGAGCATACAGGCCTATTCAATGAGGCTCTTTGCAGAAAGAGTCTGGCTATAATAATGGGGATCTGGCTTTCAACTTCAACAATACCTCACCATATGCTATTGTGCAAATTATTACTAAGAAAGACTCTCAAATGTTCCCTGAAATGTTTTTCAAAGTTTGATTTGGATGACTTGTCTTGTCTCACTGGACTAATAATTTGAGCTTACATTTCGGAGCAGACTCAGATATGTGGTGATTGCCGCACTTCTTATTTCTAACATTTAGAGTTCTCCATTTGATTGAGTGAAGGAGAATTATCTTTTAAGAATTTCTGCCAACATGTGGCTTTATATCTTTATCTTTTGCTCAACTAGAGCATGTATTTAGATGTGTACACATATTGATTCCTGCTGAGCCCATCTTTAACACCTAGAAATCATGCTACATATGCAACCTATCGAATTAACAAAAGATTATAAAAGCTAAACTCATATTTCCTCTAAATGCTGCTTCTTGATCAACAAAAGGGGAGTTACCTTTTTTCTAATTATAAATTCTTCAAATTTAGTAGATAGTTGATTTCAGGGGTATGACTTCCCTTTGGTCCACCTTGAATACATAAATTTTCTTGGGGGCACAATAAAGGACACACATGTAGAGACTTCCCGAAATCACATCCTATGAATCTCTTCTGATTGTAGAGATGTAGACTTGTGGTAGAACATTTCACTGACATGCACTATTCCTGGGAATCTAACACATGTGCACAAGCACATGCTTGCACATATGCACAAACACACATACAGAAACTCACAGATATCATAGGCACCCATGAATGTACACATGCACACATGCATGCAAGCACTCATGTATGTGTACTTCCATATACATACTCACAAACACACTTGTAGGGGCTCATGCTTCCAACTAGTCCTTGAGAAGTAGAGGCAGAAGGATTTCTAGAAGTTCAAAACCAAATGTAAGAATTAACATTTCTGTAAGGTGTGTGGACTATCTACCTGCCTGGCAATATTGCCACAGGAACTGTCTTAGACTTTTCTCACACCTCATTCACAGTAGCAGTCCTCCAAACCAAGGACCACTCTCTTAAACATAACACTTTGATCCTAGTACTGTAAATCTGAGTATATTGTCCTTATTCCAATTAACCATCCTTAACTTGTCCTGTATGTCTTTGCAGTTCTCAAGTATTCACTGTTATCATCATGTCGATGAAAAATTGCCATTGCCAAATGGGAGGTTTTGCTTTGAGCACAGTGGCCTGGCTACTTTGCTGCATATCCATAGGCCTCCCTCAGTGGCAAGTGTGGCACTATGAAGATCCTGTGATCCTCAAGCCTACAGTGGCTTTTGTGGGTGTATGGAGAGCCTGTGTTTTCCACACTGACAGCAACTCCAGCAACAACAGAGTATGTCACCAATACAACTACCGAGACTCCTTCATTCCTTTCTATATTCGAGTAAACCAGCACTTGCTGCTGGTTTCTAGCTTTCTGGGGCTCTTTGGGAAAATCACCACCATTATTGCTCTTTCAAATGTGGGTATGGGAAGAGTACGGAGGAATGCCACCAGAAATCCATTCAGCCTTCCAGGGATTCTGAATACCATCGTTAGCAGCTTTCTTTACTTTGCTGTTTTGTTAAATTACATAGCCATCTTACGCAAATGGGGAGTTGCCTTCCCACCATCTTTCCATATGCCTTCCCATCCAGACACTCAGAAGATGGGCAGCGCCATGGCTTTGGCAATTATAGCTGCAGTTTTCTTTCTACTAAGTGGCATAATTTGCCTTTCTTCAAATTTATCCATAGGCAAGAAGCCCCATCCCAAAATTTAAAAGTAAATTGCTACCTTACATAGCCTTGAAACGCCAGCAAAGAGAATGAATATTCTTCATGTGTCAACATAAATTTTCAAAGAACTTGAAAGAATGCCAATTGTGGCCTGTGACAAAAGATAGTCCAGTTGACTTTCTCTTATCTATTTGGCTTCTTTTGTGTTGCCTTAATTCATTATTTGGACTGTGGGCTTTTATTAAATAAAATCTTATTTTATGGGTAGTATTGAATTTGTGTTTTACTTCCTGTCAACAAATATAAATAATCAATAAATCAAATACATATTGAAATGAGTGTCAGAGTACATAAATCTTTCACATTGCTTTAGAAACTAAGGCTAAATCAGAACCTGGACTGTACTCTCCTTCCTCCTCTATCCATGTTGGTCTACTCTGTTTCCAAGGAAAATCCACATTCCTCCCTGGCTCATTACTATATAGATAACCTTTGTAGTTCTACAGATTGTAGCCTTTTATGCTGTTGCTTTTGTTTTGTTTGTTTCGTTTTTCAAGACTGGATGTCTTGCCTTGGCTGTCATGGACCTCACTTTGTAGACCAGGCTGGCCTCAAATTCAGAGATCTGCCTGCCTCTGCCTGCTGAGTGCTGGGCATGAGCCACCATGCTTAGCTGACTGTAGCCTTCTTTTTTTGTTTTTTTTTTAAATTATTTTTATTGGATATTTTCTTTATTTACATTTCAAATGTTATCACTTTTCCCTTTCCCCCCAAAATCCCCTGTCTCATCCCCTTCCCCTGCTTCTATGAGTGTGTTCCCCCACCCACCCACTTATTCCCACCTTCCCCTACACTGAGGCATAGAGCCTTCACAGGACCAAGGGCCTCTCCTCCCATTGATGTCCAACAAGGCCATTCTCTGCTACATATGCAGCTGGAGCCATGAGTCTCTCCATTTACACTCCTTGGTTGGTGGTTTAGTCCCTGGGAGCTCTGGGGGGTTCTGGTTGGTTGAGATTGTTGTTCTTCCCACGGGGTTGCAAACCCCTTCAGCTCCTTCAGTCCTTCCCCAATTCCTCCATTGGAGCCTTCTTAATGGAGACTTAATAGCTAATATTCACACATGCAAATGAACAAACATATACCATCTTTGTCTTATTGTGTCTGAGTTACCACACTCAGGATTATTATTTTCTAGTTCCACCCATTCAGCTGTAAACTTTATGATTTCATTTTTAACAGCTGAGTAATATTCCATTTTGTAAATGCTCTGCATTTTCTTTATTCATTCATCCACTCACAGCTAACTAGGCTGTTTTCAATTAATGGACATTATGAATAGAGCAACAAAGAACATGGTTGATCAAGTATGTCTATAGTAGGGTATAGAGTCTTTTGGGTTTATGTCCAAGTGTAGTGTAGCTGGATCTTGGCATAGAGCTTTTCTCAGCTTCCTCAATAACCACACTGATTTCCACAGTGGCTGTCCAAGTTTGCACTCCCATCATTTCCCACTAGAGAGTCTGAAAAGAGTGAAATTAGACACCAGCCATTGAGTAAAGGACTCAATAGCTACCTATGTAGGAATAAAAATCACTTAAACTTCCACTCTTCGGGTGCTGATTAGCTTAGATTGGGTCTTGGTGCAGTTTTTACAAAAAGGATTGGTTTGCTCAGCTACTTAGCCTTTATTTGTGGTTCCTCTGTGGGACACTGAGATTATTTTCTGTTTCTAACCATTCCTATAAACTCTAATATAAATACATAAATGTGGACACTTCTGGCTGTCCCTAAAAGGTGTGATTTAGTTTGGCTTGGCCAATCTATCTTCTGAGTCTTGATTCAGAAGGGTAAAATATTCTTTGTCCTTGTCTTCTGTCATTTTCTTCTGGATGCTGACCTGAGCCTACATAGCCTTTTACCTACCAAATACAGTGGGCTCCTTCCTCTCTCCCCATGTGAGTGCCTGCTGCCATTTGACTGGTGTAGTCTCACCTCAAAGTACATATTTTATTCTCTTTTCCTCTACACTCTTCTACTCTGGGCAGCTTCCAGATTTATGCATTGGCTTCAAAAAAATTTTTTTTAACTGTAGTTATTTTTCTTCGGGTTCCAGTTTGAGGCTGTGTTGGGAGCCGCCACGAGAGCTGACAAAGTCCGCCATCGCTAGGTGGCGCTGTCGCCCGTAATTCTTCCTAGTACCAAGTAAACTGCGCATGTGCCATGGTAAGCCCGCCAAAGCTAAGCCCATCCCACGGCGTTTGGCGCGCTACGAGTAAGCAGCCAATCAGGGGGTGAATACCCCGCTCTGGGGTATATAGGCAGTGCTTTCCCACGCCTTCTCGTCTTCTTCCACCATCTTGGTTTTGGGGAAATAAACGTGTTCATACGGAAGGATTCTGGCGTGTGTGTGATGTGTGTGTGTGCGCGCGTGTGTGTATGTTTTTGCCGGCGAGACCACTACACGTGCGCCCCGCACAAGGCTGCCCTTAAATCATTTTGTTAATGAATCTAAAAACCACAAGAGGGAATTTTCTTATTGTATTTTGACATCTCCAGGATGCTTCATGATTCCCCATATCACTTCTTTCCTGACTTTTATTTCTGTAACAAGAGGAGAAAATAACCTTTTCCTGTAATGCTAGGCAGCATCTCTTTGGAACCTACCATGGGCTTTTTTGTAGAACTTGCCCTTAAAACTGTGATTCTAACTTCTCTAACTACTATCAATATTTTAAAAAGCATATCCTGGGTTCATTACCCTTGAGTTCAAACTTAAAGATAAAAGAAAAAAATGAGGAAAAATTCACCAAACTGTGAGATCAAGGAGATTCTAATAGACTTTAATTTGAACATTAAAAAAAAAAGTCTTCTGTTCTGACTTCCAGGCCTACAGGTTCTTTTTTTACCTTTATCATGACATCTACTTTAAGTCTGCATTTACACACAGGCTATGGATATCCAAATATCCTTTCTGTACTACAACCGGCAGTTATATAAATGGAACCATTCATATAATTTTGAGCCTTTTAATAAGGCCCACTGAAGAGATATCCCAGCCAGGTACTGCATCTTGATACTCCACTTATCAATAAGATATACTCAGTCATTTCTCCAAATCCACAAATGGCTGTTGGGTTACCTCTTCAGAAAGTGGAATTTTGAGAACATGAGATAGAAATAAAATAGGCAGCTCAAAGGAGAGAACACAAAATCTGCAGTTCCAGGAATATCCCTGGTTCTGAGACACAGAAATTTACCAGAAGAGAACTCCAGTTTCTTATCAGTTCCTAAATGAGCACCCTTCTGAGGGTAGTGCCTAAAATTTAGTCCAGACATTGATCTCTTCTACTGAACAGTATTAGAACTGGACCACCAGATTTTCAGAGTATAAATGAGTTGTATCTATTCCTTAGTTTTACTCTATCTCCTAAACAATTTTCAAGCTACCTCTTTAGAAAAAGGAATCTCATAGGAAAGAATGGACTCTCTCTTTAGGTGGAATCATGCCATTTCTTCTTTCCTAACTCCAGGTGGTCAGGTCACTGGAAATAACCTAGGAAAAGAAAGAATGACTAAAGAAAATATGATATATTAACACAATTGAATATTATTCAGCTGAGTAATATTTATATTCAAGAATCACGAATTCATATTCAATAATAATGACATTTGCAGACAAATAAATGAAACTAGACAAAAAGATCTTCCTGAGATAATGCAGACCCAAAAAGACAAATATGGTATGTATTCACTTATGTATGAATAATTGCTATTAAGTCAATGATAACCAAGATCCAACCTCTAGAACCATAGAGGCTAGGTATATGTCGAGGTGTAGGCTCGACACAGGATTGGAGTTCTCAACTGAAAGCAGGGATATCTAGAAGGCACATAATAAATATACACAGACTACTTTTTTTGAGCACAAGGTGACAGGCAATTTTTCAAGGCTTAAAGTTTCTCTCTTGTCTCTTTCTCCCTCTTTCTATCTCTCTGTCTCTGTCTCTCTGTCTCTGGTTTCTTTCTCTCTTGCCCATTTGTTCATAGCTTGAGGCTGCACACACTCTGCGTTCTCCTATGTACTCTGCTTTTCTCCTGCATGCTTTTCTTGAACTCTCATACTCCCACACACCTCTGTGCATTCCCTTTTCACTCACACATACACTCTCCATACACACCTCACATTCTCTCTTCACTCACTCTTCACATACACTCTGCAATCACTCTTCACATGCTCTTCTCAAGCTCTCTACATTAGCCTCACATGCTCCTTCATTTGCCCTCTCATTCACTTTCTCACTTACTCACTTGCCCCAGTCTTTTATTGATACTCCAAAAGCTGATAAAAAAGAAGACATTGTATAATCATTGCCAAATCAAATTCAAAACAATAACCATGTCCCACAAAGAATTAAGAATTACAATTTTCCCCAACATTTCAAGCTTTTCCTATTCCCAGGCCTGTAGCCACAATAATAATAATTGCAAACTTATCATCATTTAAATTTTAACTTTTAACTTACTATACTTCAGAGCTCAGAGCTCTGAGGTCAGCTACTTGCATTTTCCTGTGAAGCTCTAATGATCAATGACATGGGCAGAACTACTAGGCAGTGGCCAGAAAGAATCAAGTTAACCCTTAACTCAGTAGTTCTGCTAAGTATCTGCTTCTGTACATTGCACACAATGACTTTCCTAAGAGTCCCAGTGTTTTGACTTAGTTTTCTAATATATAATTTTATGCATTCTATATTTGCTTATCCAGGAACTACTCTTAAATGCTGTATAAAACTTATTTCATAACTTTAATAGTTCTTTTTCCTTTCTTGGGGTCCCAATATTGGCTCTATTTCATTTTCTAATAATTTCTTCAAACTTTCTTTGCAAGTCAAGCATTAATCTGAAACTACCATTGTGCAGTTATTGCATTGTTTCCAAGAGCAGAACACATAGCATGCACCTGGGCCATTGGGACTGTGCTGTGCTGTGCCCTATGCCTCAATTTTTAATTGTTTAGGAATAATTACATCAAGGAACATCTAGTTTCACAGAATTCACCAGAGCAGAAGGAGAAGGAAGAAAGTCAGATATAATAGAATAATTATGCGCACCAAGGCCAACTGAAAAGCAGCCATGCACAAACGAAATCTATACAGCCTTTGTCCAGGGCTAAGGTTAGGAGAAATGGGAACAACTGTTTTTTTACAAAGAGCTGCTGTAGGGTACTGAGATGACTCCATTCCGGCCTACTGCAGGCAGTCTCTTATTTTAGATGGTGGGTCCCCTGGAGGGATGTCTCCTGCTTCTCAGGGTACCAGACACCATCCTCTT